TCATGGAGCAGCATAAAAGCTGCGACGAAGACGCATGCTGTCAGTACTTTTGTCGAGGATTTGGTCAAACGATTTGACGCGGTAGAGGTTACGACGTAGCGGGGAGAGAGGATCTCCGGGTCATCAGATGGTTGATCGTCGGGGCTTTGCGGCGGCGATTGGTCGAGGCAGAGGCTGTTGTCGACTCGTGGAGAGATGGCGTTGGCGCTAACAGACGATCCTACTCCGAGAGTGATTGAGCCATGAACAGATCGATCTGGTCACGAGATCTTCCGGGCTGTGAAGATCGGCTTCTGATTGGTTTCGGACGTTCGATGCGGCTGTGGGTGTGTAGGTGGATTCGGATGTGTCCAATAATCTGCTCTGGTGCGACTGGGGCGGCTATGATTGGTCGGCACTCATAATGCTGAACTGGGCATAGGTGATGAGTTCTCATTGTCTGAGGGGGAAGAGCAGGGCTTACCACCCGTTCGGCGTTCCGTGACAGGGCTGACTCATCACAAGGGCATGAAAAAAAATCAAGCTTCACTTTGAGGTGGAACTGGTGGGGAAGATGTGAGCATTTTCTGGTACCACTCGAGCATGGAAGCGAACCAAATCTCCCTTCGGACGAAATCTCAGCCTTTCCAAAGTCAAGTCTAGTCATGTGAGCATCTTCACTGCTTGGTAGAGCCTAACGATCTAATAGAGCTTAGTGTAAATGCTACATCTATATTTGTCTTTTGTCTGTGCATGCGTGTATGCGGGGCTTCACAACTTCTTGTCCATTCCTCTGGGTACAGTGGAAGCAATGCAAAGCCAGTCGGCAGTAATCGGGCTTCCGACGGCTGAGGCATAAATTGCTACTAAACTCAAACCGATGTCTTGCCTAATTTCACATGCTTAGCTGATGGCTTTTACATGAGTCAAGATGCTCTGTGCATTTTCTATATATTTGAAGCAGCTTGCTTGTGTGATTCCTGAAAGCCGTAAATGTGCAGATACGCAGAGGGCCAGGTTCCGGCTTCTGATGGGATGGTCTCACGAAAACTAGCATCGCACATTTCCAAAATAAAGTGACAATCGCCTACAAAAATTGTCGTTTTCTCGTTGAAATGCTTCTTTTTGGTAGCTGATAAACTTCACTTCTGCATGAAACATTCGCTTTGTAGTGCCTTCCTGAGTACTGAGTCCTTTTTCTTGATGTGTGCCGTAATTACGGAAGCACCACGTAAACGAGGTCGCAACTATCGTGGCCTGACTTTCCATTTCGAAGGGAAAGTTGGTTGGAAGGACTTCGTGATGTGGTCTCATCGGAAGCCGAAGGAGGATTGTCGCGTAGCGAATACTGTCGAATTGTGCGAAGAAGTCCTCGGCTCACCGTCCTGCGACCCCAATGAAACTGTGCTAAGCTTTCATCTGTACCATCGTGGCCGACATGATCATAGCAAGCCTCCATAGTTTAAGGAGTAGAGCAAAAATAGATTATACTAACTACGCGGCAATCCTTCTTCGATTTCCGGTGTGACCGCATCACCAATTCCTTCCGACCATCTTTCCCTTCGAAATGGAGAGTCCCGTCACAATATTTCATTAAGGGATTTTTCTAGACCCAGTTTTTCTTCCCTTCTTTGAGGTCACAATTAGTCCGTGCTAGTGTCTTGGCTTCTTCTGGTACGCCAATTATTCGGCAGGCCAGTCTCCCTTGAAACCTCTACTTGTCTGTACGTGTATCCGGCCCAATGATAGCCGGGATCGGCGAAAAGGATTCATCGTTCAACTTCAACATGGGCTGAATAGTCTCGGAGCAGGGCTTCGCGTTTAGTCTTTTTCCTTCTCTGAAAGTGAGTCTGTTAAAGACTCATTCGCACACGGGCAAACACACACTCTTTCCCTATCCTACCCACCAACACATACACACACAGATGTCCAGTAAGGTTGGCGAAATGAGGCCGGCTGCGACCGTTGTGCGACTCCGCTGTTCGGGCGTCCTCTAGAGAGAATATAGATACCTCTCAAGAGGTCTTGCGGAGCTTCATTCTTCCCGTGGAAAGCATAACCGGAAGCAATGAAATAGCCATTAAGACTATATTTATTTGAACAACTGAATAAACTGTCGTTTAGAGAGGACAGCTCAACGCATATGTTTGCTCTCTTTTACGATTCAAAATAAAAAGCATTTCTCGCCTTTGTGTACCCTCCGGCCTGTCTCACCCTTGTGCTCGATTTGTGTACAGACCCTGCCGATTTGTCTGCGAACAGGTCGCCTGGACCTGGAGCCGGCCAACAACGGTGAGATCTATCTGAAACCGGTACTGGTGGGCGACAAGGTGACGCGTCGGTACGCCGTTACCAACCACTCGCCGGTGGAAGTTGAGTGAGTGCCTTGACTTACTGGCTGGTTGACACTTTTAACTTACTGGTAGTATCAAGTACTACTTACTACAGTAATAAGTAACATCGTCGATTGCAATGACAAACACCTGACCGCTTAATCAAAAGTGCCAATGTAAATGCGTAGAAAAACTGGCTTTCAAAGAATCCCATAAAGGATTGAGGTTGGAATACCTTTCATTTCGTTTGCAGAGGCAAGTGAAAGGGATTAGCAAGTTGGTCTCACGGAAAGTCAAGGGGAGTTGCCTTGGTGATGTTACTGTAGATTTATGCAAATAGGTCCTTAGCTAATCGTCCAGCAACCCCGATGAATCCCCGTTGAATTTTCGTCTATCATGTGATGAATATCGTGAAAGCAGGATACCTTTTTTACGATAATTCACCAAGAGACGAGGCTGGATACAATCCTACTTACTTGGTATAGCCTTACTTTGTCCACCTAATGAGACATCTCATGATTTTATTTGATATCCTATGCTTTTCCTACGTTTGGCTGTGGATTAAACGTGAAAATGATGCAATTGTGATCCCAAATCACTTCTTTTTTGATCCTCAAATGTCGCCACATGCGAATGCATCCATTTTGCGTGTCTTGTATGCATGCAATAAGGAAGGATAAGTGGACTGAAAGTGGAAACCGGATTTGAGGCTTCTCTTGCTCGGCGATACTTTTTGTTCCCTCTCTCTCTGAGCCTATCCACCAGCCACAAGGAGTTTGATATGCATTGCGGTTGAGACTTTTATTTCATATGAAAGTACATGCTGAAGAGATTGTAGCGTTAATCTGGCCAGAAGACGATGGCTGACTCAACCACTGAATCTCTTCATCATGCACGTTCATACGAAAGGAAAGTCTTCACTACGAGTAGTTTTAAATTGCCTTCCTAGACTCTTTTTTACCTTTGTAGAGTGTTGGCTGTTTTGTTGATTTCTATGGATTCCCTAGTCTTCCGCTTGCTGGTATAGCCTCCATATCGAGCTGCGCGTTTCGCTTTAGACAAGTCGATACTCTTGTTGAGGCTGTGTTCAGTCAGTCCTGATGTTTGAGCATACAACCCTTTGCGGGCTGTTTTGTGTTCAGATAAGCTCTTACGCATGGGTCGGCAGGTCTACCCCACATAAACACTACCAAAGGAACGCAAAAGCGCAATTTGGAGAGAGGGTCAGAAAATTCCAAAAAAGAGGGCATCACTAAGGAAAGTGTTATTTTCCTTCTATACCTTCTCCTGATGTGCCATTTCCTTAGTAAATCACTTTACTTTTTCGAGAGCTGATAAAACGTTAATATCAGAACCCCAGTAGACTGGTACAGCTGCTTATCTTGCTTCAGATAGATGCTAAATTTTCCTTAATCGCCTTAGTTCTTGGTCCTGATTGTTGCCATGGATTTCATAACTCCTACTTTAACTTCATAAGTATGTCGTAATTATGAAGACTAAGATGGTGTGGCCTTCTCTTTGGTCGCGGCCTCCTTTGCGAATGTGCCAAGTCAATGGTCCAAAGCTGGAAATCACGAATACTATGGCAGAGGACACAGGACTAGGTACGTTCCACAAGGTCTCACTGACGCTCCGACCAAGTTGTGAAAACTAGGTCTAACCAACCCATAAGAATTGTGGGAAAATAGCTTTACAGGGAACCCTGCATTTGTGGGCTTCTTATATAAAGAAAAGTTGGCCTGCCATCTATTTCTAACTTAATGGTCAACTTGGTTTTCTCTTCGAGTCTATTTATTAATTTTGGGAAGTCATCTGGGCTTTTTTTTGCCGTATTGTCGCGTATTAGGTGACCTTCTAATTGAGCCATATAGTTTTTTGCTACAATCGGGGACAAACATAATCCCATAGGTAAGCATTGTAAGTAAAACATGTACAGGTCATCAGTAAATTTGCCAACTTTGTCATTGACTGCCTACCTAGATTTGAGCATCACAAATTATTCGGAGGCTGATCCAATGTTAGTTCTTGAGCCCGTGTCGCTCCGCTTACATATAAGTTTGTCTACGTCGACTTTACATCAAAATTAACAAGCATATCCGAACTTTACATCCTTTGCTCATCGGCCAAATGAACAAATCCATAAGAATTCCTTATTGAAAACCGCCCTGCCTCGGAGATTTGCTTCATTTGCTGACAGATATATCGTGATGTTTTATGCATCATGCTAACCTTATTATTGATAATAATACTAAGACGAATTCAGGGTCTGATATCTCAGTGAAGAAATATGTTCACTTTTCAATTATCCAATACCATGTTTGTTACGCAATGCTGCAGACAATCTCTGAGTCTAGACTTCAGGGTTTAAATAGGGTCCTTATGGATAACCTTTTAGTGCCTGCATCATCTTTTCGACATAATTAATCTCATCTATAACCACAACTACTCTTCCTTTGTCTACCTTTAACAATATTTGCTCTTTGTCTTGTGGTTGTTACATAATATTAGTAGATATGAAAACCAAGATGGTGTGACCTTCTGTTTGGTCTCAGTCTCCTTCAGCTTTATAGTGTTGGATCGACCTTGCCTTCTCAACTTGGTCGGAGCGTCAGGGAGACCATGTGGAACGTACCTAGTCCCGTGTCCTCTGCCATATTATTCGTGATCTCCAGCATTGGACCGTTGACTTGGTACATTCCCAAATATTTTGCCGACATCGTAGTCGGCATCGTAGGCACAGAATTACAACCTATCAAAGTGAAAAGTGAAGGCAATCCCCTTAACCAATTTTCTGTTCTGAAATCTGGCTGACTTAGAACCTTCCATTCCCGTCCTCGATCACGCCATATTCAATGAATTAGAGCAGAGGATGCACATGTCAGCTCATGGGAATCTTCTTCCTAGGCTTCAAACCCGTGACTCATTTGTGATCTCCGTCATCCCAACCCACCTTGTGTCTCGTTCTTTGGGGCCCTGTGTCCGGCTTAAGTCGTAACCGCTGGTTTGAGAATGCA